CACATACACAAACACATTCACGCATACAACACCCACATCCACACACATCTTTAAAACTAAGCATCAAATATGATGGTTATTGAGTATTTTGGGAATTCAAGTATCTGATCTAGTGGTATATAATTGATGCGTTTGCTGACAGCCCAATATCAACATTGCCACAAGTACTGATCATTAGGTTTCTGGTTTCCCAAAGTATCACCAATAGGGTGGCAGGCTTCTTTTACAGAAGGACTTTTATCTATTTACAGTCCTTTTTGGATGGTGGCCATTTGAGACAATCACCATGATTTGGAAAGGCTTTGTTCTTTCTAAGTATTACAAGAAGTTGGCAATTTCCAAAACTCTCCTTAACAAAGCTACTATAGAAACAGGATGGGAAGAAAGAGGAGACAAAAAAAGATATGCAGCTCTATAGGACATCATTGTGAAAGTGGCAGATGAAAGTTACTATGGGTGGAGGAGAAACTGATGAAGATGGAAACTTGCCATGTTGGCTATCAACCAGGAGCAAAAGAACTGGCTGAGGAACATTTGTCCTGAGATCTGGCAATGCGGGCTCAGACTTGGAAAGCATTTCCATATACTGTGGATAGAAGAAAAATCCAATTTAGTTTTAAAAAGATGACATTCATTAGGCATCAAGGAGAAAAAGGAAATAAAGACTTCATAGAGGTCTGCAGGATATCTTCTCTCACACATCTAATGCATTTGCTTCCCATAATGGCCTCTGCATTCTGGATTTTTTAAGGCCAGACTCTTCTTCACCTCAGTTAATAAAATCTCTTCTGAATCACAGCAATGGTTTTTCTTTTTGCCATCACATTTATTTATTTATTTATTTACTTTATTTGTATACCGCACTCTCTCAGCCCACAGGCGACTCAGTGCGGTTTACAACCAAACCAATATACAAAGTGCACAACATTAGCAATTAAAACAGTAACTAAGGCAACTACATCAATATAACAATACATCAATACATCCATATAACTAATCCATCACGTCTCATCAGTAAAGTCATAATCCGATCTCCTCGTCCACTATTCCAAGTTCCAAGATCAATCAATTAATTGCACTGCTTAATTAAATGCCTGTTCAAAGAGCCAGGTCTTCACTCTTCTCCTGAACGCCAGCAGGGAGGGGGCCGATCTAATATCTGCGGGAAGGGCGTTCCACAGCCGAGGGGCCACCACTGAGAAGGCCCTGTCTCTCGTCCCCACCAGGCGTGCTTGTGAAGCCGGCGGGATCGAGAGCAGGGCCTCCCCAGACGATCTTAATGTCCTAACTGGTTCATAGGGGTGATGCGTTCGGACAGATAGGTCGGGCCAGAACCGTTTAGGGCTTTAAAGGCTAAAGCCAGCACTTTGAATTGTGCCCGGTAGCAGATTGGCAGCCAGTGGAGCTGGCGCAACAGAGGAGTGGTGTGCTCCCTGAGTGCCGCTCCTGTTAACAACCTGGCTGCCGATCATTGGACCATTTGTCGCTTCCAAGCAGTCTTCATAGGCAACCCCACGTAGAGAGCGTTGCAGTAGTCTATACATCCCGTATAGACTTTCCACTTTCCACCCATAGATGAAATCCCACCATCAGATATGGAAATAATTGACCATGACCATGAAATAATTGACCATGACCATGTAAATTAAATGGTTAACTTATAATCTCTCTTACATTTTTTTCTTGATCTTGGCAGATTCAGTTTGAGTTTGGAAAAGTTACTTTTTGGCTACAATTCCCAGAATGCTACCTTAGGGTTTCTGGGTTTAGTAGCATTGGAGCATTTTCATCCTTCCCTTTTCTACTTCATTCAGGACCACACAATTACATAATCTTGGGTTCTTGGGATGTTTTGGACTTCAGCATGGCCAATGTTAATGAACTGCAGGATCTGTAGTTTCCAAAACATTGGAGGGGGGGGGGATGTTTATCATCCCTGAATTTGAGCTAAACTTAATTTATTCTTATTTTGAAGGCTGCCCCATATGATACCTGGCTTCACCACAGTTTATAAGCTAAGCATCAAAAAGTGCAACTGTTAGGAGAACACTGTAGCATCTCAATGAAGAACCTTCATGACTGCTTCCACTATAGTGGCAATTGGCTTTCCTTGGACAGGAAAAAAAGGGCATTCATTCTCAGTGGAACCTAAGGTTGACCTGAACTCTGATATGTCTCATCTGTATGGTTTTCTTCTCTAGTCCTGACCCCTGATGTGCTCTCCAGTTTGTCTTTTGGTTTGCTTCACAGTCTTGATGCTCACAGTCTTGCTATCTCTTGTCTCACTGCAGGCCCAGGTCCCAACATTAATGTGAAAGAACACAAGAACTTGTTATGTTGTTGTTCTCCATTCCCTGATATTTAGTGGTGCATTAATTCCAAATGCAGAAGTCCCATGCAGTCATAATTCAGGGATGGGGAAAATGTAGTTCCTCCAAATGCTGTTGGACAACACTTCCCATAACATTAATTCCTACGTTGATAAAACTGACTGGAGGTGAGGTCCAGGGCAATTTGGACAATGTATTCTTCATCCCCACTATGACTAATGCTTATTCATGGATGTGTGAACGTTTCCAATTCCTTATGTATCTTGATGGTGGTGGAATTTTCACGAATATCCTTTTTGATTCCCAGATGTGTGTTTGTGAGCAATGCAGCCCTGATTTCCAGAGTACTAATGTCAACAATGAATACTTCCTTCTCACTGGATCAATTTAGTTATATGGGGACAATAAAAGGTATTAAAGAGGTTGCAGCTGCTGAGAATGAACAGGGTATGTTTTTTAAATAAATTGGGATGCAACAGACTGGCAGTTTCACCATACATTTTAGCTATTTTGCTGCTAAGGAAGAGAGGGCAGGACCTCCTCATCAGTAGTACCTCAGCTATGGAATACAATACTCTCTCAGGAGACTTGTCTTAAGTCTTCTTTATGACTTTTATGGTGCTTGACCATTTTCATGCCTCATTATATTATTTGCTTCCTGCTTTTCCCTACACCTCAAGGGCATTCTAAAAAAAAGCAGAATGAGATTTTAGGAATCATCCCTAATTTCCAACCAGAGGCGGAAGCTGGGTTCCTTTGGGAATAATCTGCTACAGATCATGGAGCAGCCGTGGCATGGACTGAAGCCAGCAGTGGCTGATGACAGATTCAAGTGGAGGCAGAGCCATTTTCTTTTTGTCACAGCATAACACAGTTGCAGGTTACTAAGTCAGGATGAATATACAAATACAAGGACAAACTTCATGAAACTGCCTCCACACATGGTGGACTCTGGAAAGAAACTCTGCAGTTGTTATTGTTGTTAACTGCCATCATGTTGATTTTTTCTTATGGTGGCCCTATGGATAAGAAGACCTCCAAGAATGGATTTATGTTGCCGAATGAATGCAGTTTCACACCACTTTGACTGCCATGGCTTATTGCTATGGAATCCTTGATTCTGTAGCAATGAGAACAATGAGACCCTGATGAGTCACAAGTGGTTTTTGGCAGAGAAGGCCTCATAAAACTGCAACTCCCATAATTCCATAGCATTGAGCCATGCCAGGTCAAGTGGGATCAAACTGCATAAATCCTACAGTGTAGATCATTCGTTCTCAACCTTCCTAATGCCACAACCCCGTAATAAGCTCCTCATTTTGTGGTGACCCCCAACCATCAAATTATTTCCGTTGCTACTTCATAGCTGTAATTTTGCTACTGTTATGAATCATAATGCAAATATCTAATATGCAGGATGTATTGTTATTCACCGGACCAAATTTGGCACAAATACCCAATAAGCCCACATTTGAATACTGGTGGTTTTTATTTATTTATTTATTTTTATTTAAAAGTTTTCTATACCGATCTTTTCACCTTCAAGAGGGACTCAGATCCGGTTCACAACATGTGTTCATATACAAAATTACAAACCACACAATGGATTATCGTTACACAATTAAAGACATATTACAATACAACATCGTCATCATCACAATTACACAGCCACGTCGTCAAAACATTCATGGTCAAAACATTCACAGTTAATCCTCCTTCCATGTGGACCAAAGGTGATTCAGTTATCAAAGGCTGCATTCCATAGCCAAGTCTTTGTTAGCTTCCTGAACGTCAGGAGGGAGGGAGCAGTTCTAATCTCCTGTGGGAGGGAGTTCCAAAGCCAGGGAGCCACCATCGAGAAGGCCCTGTCTCTTGTCCCCACCAACCGCGATTGTGACAGTGGTGGGATCGAGAGCAGCCCCCCCCCCCCGGAAGATCTTAAAGACCTTGATGGTTCATAGGGGAGAATCCGTTCGGACAGGTAAACAGGGCCAGAGTCATTTACGGCTTTGTAGGTTAAAACCAGCACTTTGAATTGTGCTCGGAAGCTAATCGCCAGCCAGTGGAGCTGGTGTAACAGAGGGGTTGTATGCTCCCTGTACCCAGCACCTGTTAGAAATTTTTGAATTCTGGGAGTTGTAGTTCGCTAATACCAAGAAAGAAGAGGATAGGTGGGGAGATCTTCATCTTTCTCTGCCAAAAGGTTTCCTAAGACCATCAGAAATATGTGTTTCTGATGGTCTTTGGCAACCCCTCTGAAACCCCCCTTGTGACCCTCAACGTGGGGTCCCGAACCCCAGGTTGAGAAACACTGATGTAGATGCACCCTAGTCTATAGTTGAACAGTCACAATTTCATCAAGAAAAGACTTTGGTTCTGGCTAGAAGCCTTGCTATTGGGAAAGAAAACAAATACGCTTATTGCAAGGAATGAATTGATATAACTTACCAACTGGTTCTACCCTGATTGTTTTGTAGTTAGCGCATTCAGTTCTTAAATAGGTATTGTTTACAGCAATAATGTAATTAAAACAAGACAGAGAGAGAGAGGTGTTGTATTCAGAGCAGGCTTCATTGAGAAATAGTGACTTCCCGCACTTTGCCTACAGAGGGCATCCCTGCTCATTCATAGGGAGCTTCAGCAAATACAGCTGCTGAAAGCCAACCAGGCTGTCTCTTTCCCTCACCCCCCTCCCCACCATGCCTGCTTCCTCTCTCTTCTTTCTCTCACACAGCAGAATCTTTCCTTTCCCGATCCAGCCACTTTCTCTCCGCTCTCCACATTTTCCTTCCCAGCCCTCCACTTCTCCGGATCAATGGATGGTACAGCTCTAACTCTTGCCTCTCACATACAGCTGGTGGACAGCACCAGTAACAAGTGAGAGCTTTGCATCCTTTTTAAAAATTTTAAAATCTTTCCCTCCAAGGAACATCTGTCAAGCTAGCAAGGGAGAGAATAATCATACCGTAGCTGTTGCCCATTGGATTGTCAGCGTACAAATTTTTATTTTATATTGTACTGCAGGAACGGAAGAGATGGAAGGAGCCTTATTCTTTTGATGCACCCTGCTTTGCCTTTTTGCTGGATCTCTTTCCCCCTCCCTCCATGGATGCTATTCAAACAGAAGGACCTCCTGTCGCCTTACCGCTTCTTTTTCTTTGAGTTAGTTCTCTGACATTTTCTGACTTGGAGACTGAATGCAACTTTTAAAGAAAATAATAGCAGAAAAAACGGAAGCCCCGAAACCGCCTCACCTTGTTCTTGGGGAAGAACTAAAGGAACACTCCCTCCAGCCCCAGCAAAAGGGAGGAGATCAAAGTGGCTGTGTGTAACGTGTGGGATTGTTGCGTGTGATCCGGACCCAAATATCCGTAGGTGTGTTTTGAAATATGGAGAATAGCCTTGGATGTGTCTGGGCACCAAAACTGGCTTTTCTGCTGTTTGGGATCTCTGTCCTCACCATGGATCTTGAAGTCCTGGGTAAGTAATATGTGGAATTATTTATTTTTTCTATGATTCCTTTTTCTATTTCATGGATTGTGGAAGAGCTTTCTGAGATGTGCTCCAGACTGCTGGTTTTTCCATCCCTTCTTTATGATTGCTGAATGCTCTGCTTTCCATTGCGTGAGGAGCTGGCTGAGTTGGGGAGAGCGTTGCAAGAGACTTGCTTGAGAACTCTTGTCAATACATTTGTTTTCTTGCTTTGTGAAGGAGAAATTTACCCATGAGGAAGAAAGCATCTAGTCAAAGGGGAAGTGTAGCAGAGGGTGAAGATTTGTGGGATATTCTTCTCTGCTTAGTGGTGTTTTCCTGTAGCTTTGGAGCTCCTGTAGCCGGAAGAGTATTGGCTTTTTGTTTTGTGTCTTGGCTCCTTATGTTGAATATAAGGTAATATGTGGATATGTGGTTTACAAAATGGAAACATTCCATGCAGATGGTTTCCAAACTCTGTTTGATTGATATTCTTGGGGGCACGCCTCCCTTTTGCACTTGGCAGAAAGATTTTCTAATTAAAAATGGCAAAGCCCGTTGTGTGTTGAATCGGGATAGGTAGAGATGAAAGGATGCTGATACAGTCTTGTTGGGTGTTCTCCATCTTCTTTTTAAAAATAAGACCAAGAATTACTGGGAGTGATCGGACTGGAGAAAACAAACCCAGGAATGAAATGGGAGGTTTTCCAGGAAGTATGAGAGAAAGTCATGATGCCATTTGCTGGGGATTGGGGTTGGAGAGGGGGTGTGGTGGTGGGCTTTGTGAGGATGAATGCTACTCTCCAGCAATCCTTCATGTGAGTTTGGATGATCAACAGTCACATTTCATTAACAGGCAATCTTAGGATGAGTTTACCCAGTCCTACTGCTAACCACCCTCTCTGGTAGCTTGATACAAGCCATGGATGAACAATGCATTCATTTCTCTCCTCCTTTCTCCCTTCCCTTCAGCCCACAGACTCACACGTGGAAGAGAAGCACACAGTGCAAAATAACAAAAAATACAGTATTTAAAATCTATGCTGAACTATTTTTTTTTACAAAAAGTTTCTCTGAGTCTAGTATCATGCAGTTGCCTATAAATACCAATATGGACTCAAAGTGTTCCTTAGGAGCCCAGAATGATCACAGTTGTCAGTTGTCTAAGACTAAGAGGTGAACTGGATAAAGACGTTCCTTTTTAAAATGACTCTGAGTTTTTCTCCCTTTCGGTCTCTGGGTTATGCATGCAACATTGGATGGAGGCAGTTGGAATGGGATAATGAATAGGTCTCTTTCTGCATGTCTCAAATGTCCAGCTAAATGGATGCTGGATGGAGGCAGCAAGATGATTGACTTGCAGGCTTCTTGCTGATGGAAGGCAAAATGGGTGTGTGTCTGTGTCAGTGTCCATGAAAGGCATGGCTTTATATTTATCTCTGATGAGCACAGGGTGTAACGCGCAGTAGTGCTTGGCAGTGAACAGGGAAGTCATTACAGGTTGCTGTGGATTTCATTGGTATATTTTGCTCTCTGCTGCCTCTGTTTAATTTGGGCTTCATGTTTGGCTTCCTGCTACTGATTACAAAGCCTTTATCTGCTTGTCTGAGTGACCCTACACTTTTTTCTGTGCACAGTTTTTCTTGAGATTTGTGAGGGCTGGAGAATTTTGTGGAGTCTTCTGACCAGTCACAACCAGGCAAAGTTTCCTCATCCAGTATTTCACCTGTAGGTATTTATTATTTGCAAAGGGCGTTTGTTTTGTTTTCTGTTCCTGGGGCCATTTCCATGGCTTGCCTTTGGCCTAAGCCCATTCTTTGGTTGAATGTCTTCCCCCCTCCTCTCTTTCAGTAGCTATTTTCTCTCTTCAGTGTCTTAGCAGGGGACTGATCGGGAAGAAAGCAGGATTTCACTCCATGAAAGGGCCAGTAGGAGGTGCCCTTAATAAGGCCAAGTAGCCAGTTTGACGCTTGGCAAAATTCCCATTCAGCAGGGTATTTAAAGACTTTGTTGATGGGTAACAAAGAGCTTATAGAGCTGCGGCACAATGTAGCTTTGTCCTTTCCCCCTTCTTCTTTTTGGCTAACATACAACACTGCTTTGGGGATATTATACTTTTTTACTTGGTTTCTTTATAAACTTTCTGTATAGAAACAAACATATTGCTCAAGAGACATAAATGCTATTTTCTCCCTTTGCAAGGTCTTCTCTTCATTTCCATTTTCTATTGTTCCTAGGTGCCAGTATGTTGACGATGAATGAATACAACTAGTCCCCCAAACCAGACATGAATGAGATTCTGTTCATTACTTTGACTTAATGTGTACAGGTTATGTGTATGTACTTGTGTGTGAGAGAAAGATGTGTGCATGATCCTGAGTATGAAAGAGTGTGTTCTGTTCTGCAGTATAGAAAAACAGAGGATAAAGAAATGATATTTTAAAAAATGTGGACCAAATCTTTATGTATGGGGTTTAATCCTGGCATGTGATCATGTGTACAGGACAATAGAGTTGGTGGTGCGGGACCTGAAGAGAAACGACTGTTGAAGTCTCTTTTGTCTGAAGTGGAAGAGAAATGGCCAACCCCTCCTTTCTACCTTCTCTCTTTCCTCTTCCTTCTGCTCTCTTCCACTATAGTGTGAGGTCAAGGAGTGGGATTGAATTTGCTTGTCAGAACCTCCCAGCATCTGGGTAGGATAGCAATCATTTTCTTGGCAAGTGGTGCAGTATAAATCAAGAGTGACCTGTCATTGCATCCATTTCACATGCAGCAGAGTTGCCCTTTGTGCTCTAGAGTGCTGGAGCTGCCACATGTGTTATATGACTTGGCGAGCCTTTAGTACATTTAGGGAAATTGCCTAAGAAGTTGGGGCTCTGTGGTATGTAGAGATGAACAGTTTTCTCACCATGCCATAGTGAGCAAGACTTGGTGTTACATAAGGATATGTCTATTCTGACTTGCAGTTGAGCTGAACTTGATATGGGGTGATGGACCACGGGCAAGGGGCAGTAGGAGAAGAGAAGGAGGTTCTTATCTTTTTAGTCACAGTCTTCAATCAGTGAAACAGGAAAGCTGAGTTAAAGCTAGAAAGCATGAATTTAAGCTTGCAAACCCAACACTTTGTACATTAGAACAACTTAACAGAAGCCTGTTTCAAGATTCATCTGGAGCATATGTATTGACACCTACCCATACATCTTGTATGAATAATATATTTACAAGATTCATGGCTTTATTATCTTATTCTGTGACCAATCCCATTGAAATGAGACCCATCATATGGGTAGGGTAGAAGGCTTCTTTCCATTTTAGAAAGTTACTCATCCCCATTACTTGGACTGTACAGGAAGTTAGGAACAAGATAGGTTGGGTTTGTTCTTAAGTTGAATTTGTATGTAAGGTGGAACTCCAGAGATACACACACACACACAAACACACACATATATCCCACATACACACACACACACTATGTGTGTATATGTGTTTAGGATAGGGAAAAGTTAACACTCCTGTGGTATTTCTTTTGCTGTCTATCCTGTTGTCTAACCCCTGTTCTTAACCATGAATCATTTGTAAGTCAGATATTTGTAACTCAAGGACTGCCTGTACTTTATTCATTGTTATTTAGTCTTTCTCCATCTTCTTGTCAGAGTGCTAACTGATGTAATGTTCAAACCTTGGCTTTTATGTCCTGTGTTTTGCACTGAGATGCTAATTCATAGAGTCTACTTTGTAGAAGAAGCTGAGACATAGCAGTCCTCTGCTGTAACAAAACTTTTACTGGAAAATCATTGGCAATTTTAAATAAGTAAAACAACTAACTAAAAAGATCTGTAGTTTATAGCATGGATATATCAACTGGTAGTTAAGTCACACATGTGGTTCTATCACTCTATATCTCATCCCTTGACAGCTTAGGACTCTTGACTTACAAGTGAGTGTGTGAATTGCTACAATTGAGAAGCACTGGGTTTTGAGATGATTCCAGGTCTGACAAATTATCTTCTGTGTTGCCTGATCTGTGATGGCTGTTTGACAAATTATTACTTTCGTGCAAGCAGTATCAAGGTTTGGACATGGTTGTGTGAACCCAGCTTCAGGTCAGTGCTGGAGATTGTAGAAGAGAATGTGTGTAGATAACAACCAGACAGCTTTGGGTTCTAAATTGTGTATTTAACCCAATACGAGTCTCATTAGCTTTTCTGAAATGATCAGATTTTCATTGAAGTTGGTTTAATAAGGCTGATGATCAAATCCCAACCATGTTTCTCCATAATACTCCAGAGTTTTCATTGAATTCTAATTTTGGTAGTTGTCTGCATGATCTAATAAAAGTTTGTAAACAGGCTTCTCAATACTTCTTCATTTTATCATGTCGGGTGGGAATTTATGATTAATGATGCCAATGAAAAATTTAAAAATAACGATCCATTCATCTGGTTTGTAAGATTACCATGTTATCTCTGCAAAGTTTCCCCTCGTTTTTAATTACACTAGTTCTGTACATCTTTTTTCCTGGGTTAGAATTGCTTTTGTCTTTTCTGCTGCCTTGTCATTGCATCACAGAATCATAGAATTGGAAGAGACAGCAATGGCCATCTAGCCCAACCCTCTACCATGCAGGAAAAGCACAATCAAAGCATCCCTGGCAGATGGCTGCCCAGTTTCTATTTAAAAGCCTCCAAGAAACGAGCTTCCACCACACTCCAAGGCAGAGAGTCCCCCAGTTGAACAGCTCTCATAGTCAGGAAGTTTTTTTCTAATGTTCAAGTGGAATCTCCTTTCCTGTCATTTGAACTCATTGCTTCATTAAGTTCTAGTCTCCAGGGCAGCAGAAAACAAGCCTTGACATAATTTGGGACTCTTGGACACACTATAAATCAAAATCCTTCTCTCCAAGAAGTTCTTTTATGACTTGGAAAAACTACCCTTTCACATCTTCATGTCTTCTAAGCAGTGCCAGGTTTATCACTGTGCCACAGCTTAGGTGTGCTTAAGCACAGGGC